TGCGTCGGAGCGGCAGGAAAAAGCGCCGCCTGGTTCTCGGGCGCATTCGGAGTGTGCAGTGTGCGGAGAGAGGATCGGAGGAGGAGGGAGAGGGACAGGCGTAAACTTCACTTCCTTCCAAAACATTTCCTCCGTCCGCGCTCCCAAGAAGAAAAAAAAAAACAAAAAAAACACCGACACTTTCTTGGTTGCCGTAGCCGAGTTTCGCTGCTCTCGCTCCGGGGACGTTTTTTTTTTTTTTTTTTTTGCAGAAGTTCGCCATGGATTGGGGCACGGACTTGTGGGTGAGTTGACAGCTGACACACGGCGGTTTTTGCGGTGTTCTGGTGAAAACGAGCGTCCCCCGGGAGTTGAGGAATTGTTCTAGGAAGTTTTGGAAAAGTTATGTGGCTGTTTTTGTTGGTGAAAGTAAAGTTAGTGCCAAAGATGGTAGGACAGAGAGACGGAGCGCAGAAGGAGGGGCTGGCGTAAAAAACTTACAAGCCCGGGGCATTTCGTAACGAGTTCTACCGCATACCTACTCGCAAAGTGAGGGAACGCCGCTCAGCACTACCTGATATACTCTTATCTGAGAGCAGGCCGAGCGAGGGGCACTGGCAGTCCTGCTTTAGACCTGCTTTAGTCCCGGTTTAAACCTGGTTTTAGTCTTTTCCACACCTGGTCTTGTTATAACTTTGTTTTAGATCAAATTCCAACTCGTAGTACACTTTTACAAACTGCCCAGTCAAGTCCTGGTGTTGTCCTGGTTTAGTCCTGGTTTAGACCTGGTTTTTCCTGGTTTAGTCCTGGTTTTAGTCTTTTTCACACCTTGTCTTGTTATAACTTTGTTTCAGATCAAATTCCAACTCGTAGTACACTTTTGCTAGTTGTTCAGGTCCTGGTTTAGACCTGGTTTAGTTCTGGTTTAGTCCTGGTTTTAGTCTTTTCCACACCTGGTCTTGTTATAACCCTGTTTTAGCTCTAATTCCTACTCGTAGTACACTTTTGCAAACTGTCCAGTCAAGTCCTTGTGTTGTCCTGGTTTAGTCCTGATTTAGTCCTGGTTTAGTCCTGGTCCTGGTTTAGACCTGGTTTAGTCCTGGTTTAGTCTTTTTCTCACCTGGCCTAGTGGACTACACATTTCTTGTTTCAGTTCAAATTCCAACTCGTAGTGCTATTTTGCAAACTGTTCAGTCAGGTCCGGGTTTAGTCCTGGTTTTGACCTGGTTTATCCTGGTTTAGATCTGTTTTAGTCCTGGTTTAATCCTGGTTTAGTCCTGGTTAAATTCTGGTTTAAACCTGGTTTAAGCCTGGTTTAGTCTTGTTTACACCTGGTCTATTATACTATGGATTTACAACCTTGTTTTAGTTCAAATTCCAATTTGTAGTATACTTTTGCAAACTGTGCAGTCAACTCCTGGTTTAGTCCTGGTTTAGTCTTGTTTACACCTGGCCTAGTACACTACACATTTATACCCTTGTTTCAGTTCTAATTCCAACTCGTAGTACTATTTTGCAAACTGTTCAGTCAGGTCCGGGTTTAGTCCTGGTTTAGTCCTGGTCTTTTCCACACCTGGTCAAGTTATAACCCTGATTTAGATCTAATTCCAACTCATAGTACACTTTTGCAACCTGGTTTAGTCCTGGTTTAGACCTGGTTTAGTTCTGTTTTAGTCCTGGTTTAGACCTGGTTTAGTTCTGGTTTAGACTTGTTTTAGTTCTGGTTTAGACTTGGTTTAGTTCTGGTTTTAGTTTTTAGGTTTAGACTGGTTGGTTTAGACTTCCTGGTTTAGTTCTGTTTAGTCTTGGTTTAGACCTGGTTAGTTTCTAGTTTAGTTCTGTTTAGTCCTGGTTTAGTCCTGGTTTAGTCTTATTCACACCTGGTCTAGTAGACTACACATTTATACCCTTGTTTCAGTTCAGTTCCAATTCCAACTGTAAACTGTTCAGTCAGGTTTGGGTTTAGTCCTGGTTCAGAACTGGTTTAGAACTGGTTTAGACCTGCTGTAGACTTGGATTAGACCTTGTTTAGACCTGGTTAAATCTTTTTTACACCTGGTCTATTATACGATGGATTTACAGCCTCGTAAATTCAAATTCCAGTTTGTGGTTCACTTTTGTAAACTTTCCAGTCAGGTCCTGGATTAGACCTGGTTTAGTCCTGGATTAGTCTTTTTCACACCTGGTCTAGTACTGCCACTTCTACTACTAGAACTACTACTACGACTACTACGACTACTACAACTACTACTACTACTACTACTACTACTACTACTACTACTACTACTACTACTACTACTACTACTACTAATATTACTGCTGCTTTATAACCTTGTTTTAGATCTAATTCCAATTCCTGTTACACTTTTACACAGCACTATACAGTCCCTGTATAGTTTCCTTTTAGTCCTGATTTTAGTCCTGGTTTAGTCCTGATTTTAGTCCTGGTTTAGTCCTGATTTTAGTCCTGGTTTAGTCCTCATTTTAGTCCTGGTTTAGTCCTCATTTTAGTCCTCCTTTTAGCCCAGATTTAGGCCTGGTTTAGACCTTATTTTATTCCTGGTTTAGACCTTCTTTTGACCCAGATTTAGCAGTGGTTTAGTCCTGGTTTAGTCCTCCTTTTTGATCTGGTTTAGTCCTGGTTTAGTCCTCCTTTTTGACCTGGTTTAGTGGTGGTTTAACCCAGTTTATTTCAGGCGTTGTTCTAGGTCACTCCTGGTTTATTGTTTAGTTTCTGGTAAACCCTGGTCTGGTTTGGTCTGGGTGTAGTCCTTGTTTGGTCCTGTTAAATCCAGGTATAGTCTTAGTTTATTTATGGTTTAGTATGAGTTTATTCCTAGTCAGAGGTTTTAGTCCTGGTTTAGTCCTGGTTTAGTCATGGTTTAGTCCTGGTTTAGTCCCCGTTTGGCCCCTGAGCCGCCTTCTGACTCAGCCGTCCTCTTATCGGTGACAGACGACAGCAAACACGGGAACCAGACAAAAGAATGGTCCAGAAAACCCGAACCAAATTAGGAATGCAATTTTTTTCCCCCCAGACTTCTCAGTGCCAAACTTTTACCTCTTAAAATGAATTTGGTGGTGGTGACCTGTGACATGAGGGGACCAGAAGCAGGACTGAAGCAGGACTGAAAGCAGGACTAAACCAGAACTGAACCAGGATGGGCCTGGAGGTGAGCCCGTGTAGACCACTGGGTGACTGCAGAAGGACTGGCGCAGAGCTTGGCACCCCACAGAGCGAAGTGCAGCCGTCACCCGATCGCACTTTGCACACACCCTGCTCCACGGGCTCAGGGTTCTCCCTCTTTCTCCGTCAAGTCCAAGTTTAGTCCTAATTTAGACCTGGTTTAGACCTGGTTTAGACCTGGATTAGTCATGGTTTAGACCTGGTTCAGTTCTGGTTCAGTCCTGGTTTAGACCTGGTTGAGTCCTGGTTGAGTCCTGGTTTAGAACCGGTTTAATCCTGGTTTAATCCTGGTTTAGAACCGGTTTAGACCTGGTTTAGACCTGGTTTAGTCCTGCTTTAGTCCTGCTTTAGTCCTGCTTTAGTCCTGGTTTAGTCCTGGTTTAGTCCTGCTTTAGTCCTGCTTTAGTCCTGCTTTAGTCCTGCTTTAGTCCTGGTTTAGTCCTGCTTCAGTCCTGCTCATCACATCGATGACATCATCGTGTACCCCCACTTAAAAAATCTCCACTACACTTGTGGTTCTGTCTTAATCCAAAGAACTAAGATTTTAAATTGCTCAACAAAAGTAATTTCTTCATATAATCTCCACTGAAACAGCAAAGGATCATGGTCTATGTAGTTCCCTCTGTTTCATTAGCTCATGCTCCACCATAACAAAGACTTTAAGCAAAGAGACTTGTAATTCGATATATTGTGACGGTCCATGATATTATTGTGAAACTTTAGACGATACGATATCACGATATTTCAGTTATTGTTACATCTCTAGCACCGATACGATACTTGGATTTATTTCTTGGATATCGGCGGCAATATTGAACATTCTGGTGGACTGGATATCGATTCCAAGATATCGGTTTGGCCCTTAATCCCATTTTGGTCTGTTAATCGGTGTAATACGAAGATTTAGAGGCAAATATGAACCTAAAGTTTCTCGTTACACAATTTTCACGAGACAAGATCAGATCCACGATAACAAGACAAGACGAGATTTTGATTTCACAATGTTGGATTCTTTTTTTGTGTGTAACGCTTTAACGGTCGTTGTAGTGCTGCGTTTTGGAACTACAGCTTCTCAAATTGTGTAACTCACCAGCTCTTTTTAGTCCAAGGCAAAGGGAAATTTAGGGGAAAAAATCTCATGAGATCAGTTTTCTCGTGTGTGTGGCAATTTCGTCTCGTGAGATGTTTTGGCAACGAGGTTTTGTCCCATTCCCATGTCTCGGAATATTACATTTGTACCAGTTTTGGAATTGCTGTACTTTTTTAAGGATAAATAACAGGATCATTTTTACCAGCTTCGTCTGACCTTCTCCTCTGCTCCTCTCTCTTCTGGCCCTCTCCTCTACTCCATCTCCTGTGCTCCTCTCCTCTAACCTTCTCTGTTCCTCTAACTTTCTTCTCTGATCCTCTGCTCCTCTGACACTCTCCCCTGCTCTTCTCCTCTGCTCCATCTTTGCTCCTCTCTTCTGTTCCTCTGACCTTCTTCTCTGCTCCTCTCCTCTTCTAACCCTCTCCTCTTCAACTTCTGCTCCTCTCCTCTGACCTTCCCCTCTGCAGCCTCTTCTCCATCTTCTCTGCTTCTCTCCTCTAACCCTCTCCACAGCTCTTCTGACCATCTCTTTTGCTCCTCTGACCCTCTTCTCTGCATCCTCTGACCTTCTCCTCTGCTCCTCTCCTCCTCTAACCTTCTTCTCTGCTTCTCACTTCCATCTGACCCTCTCCTCTGGATCCTCTGCTCCTTCTGATCCACTTCTCTGCTCCTCTGACCCTCTTTTTTGCTCCTCTGACCCTCTCCACTGCTCCTCCGACCTTCTCCTTTGCTCCTCTGACCATCTCCTCTGCTCCAGATGACTCTCTCCTCCATCTGACCTTCTCCTCTGCTCCTCTGACCATCTCCTCTGCTCTTCTGCTCCATCTGACCTTCTCCTCTGCTCCAGCTGACTCTGTCTTCCATCTGACCTTCTCCTCTGCACCATCTAACCTTCTTCTCTGCTCCTCTGCTCCATCTGATCTTCTCCTCTGCTCCATCTGACTCTCTCCTCCATCTGACCATCTCCTCTGGATCCTCTGCTCCTTCTGATCCACTTCTCTGCTCCTCTGACCCTCTTTTTTGCTCCTCTG